TATAAGCCAGTGCCTCTCACGAAGTCAAACTTTGCATTTTGGTTGGGTTCTTGTCATATACTGGGTTGTAAGGACCAAAAACACAAGGACTACTTAGCATAGTGCCAAAACCAAAACAGGAACTTGGTAAATGCTCACTACCTGCAGAAAAGAATAAGCAGAGGACTTGGGTCTTCCTGAACCCTCACCCTGGGAACATGGGTCCAGGAAGAGACTGGGAAGTATTAGGATGGAGCCAGGAGGTGGTTAACTCTCAGAGGAGCCTCGAAATCCCCCTGGCCAAGCATCGAGGCAGCCAGGATCCAGGTCAAGAAGCATGTGAATGAAGGTGCTATCTGCTTCCGTCCGTTTCCTGAACTCATTCATTACACTTCAGAGCTTCCTGGACTATTCAGCCTACCTTTTCAAAGAACCCATTCAAGCCCTGTTTCTGTTGTGCCTGGTGGTGGTTGCTGCTTTCTGGAGACTTACTGAGGATAGAGGATGCGGTCTGGCAAGAAAGCGGGAGTCAAGTGGTCTTCTGCTTTGAACTTAGGCTGGGGAATTTGGATGTCCTCAACTGTAGCTGTCATTCACTCATTCATTCAGTATTTATTCTGGCTCTACCATGTTCCAGGAATGTGTTTAGAGGGGATAAAGCATAGGCTTAGGAGGCATGTTGATTAGAGCACATCTTGGCTGTGTACCTTCCCAGCTGGGTGACTTTAGGAAGAGAGTTTTCTTTCTTTGAGGCTCGTTTCTTCTTTTTTGGGGAAAAAAAAATGTGGCTTGTAATACCTACTTGCAGGGTTGTTATGAGGTATAATTTATATGAAGATCTTTATAGAGGTATCTGACATGTAGTAGACATTCCACAAGTAGTAACTTAATTTTTTATTGAGATATATTTCATTTGATGTGAATGTCACCATTTTAACCATTTTAAAGTGTGTGCAAGTGAGTGTTTTTTAGTATATATATTCCCAGTGTTCTGTAACCATCACCACTATTTTATTCCAGAACATTTTTATCACTCAGAAAGAAAAGAAATCCGTGTTACCCATTGAACAGTCACTCTTTATTGCCCTTTTCCGCCTGCTCTTGGTAACAACGAAACTACTTTTTGTCTCTATGGATTTACCCATTCTGAACATTTCATATAAATGAAATCAATAAATGGCCTTTGTGTCTGGCTTCTTTTACTTTGCATAATATTTTTAAGATTCATCCATGTTGTAGCATGAGTCAGTACATCATTTCTCTGTATGGTTGAATGATACTCTCTTGTATGGGTATACCACATTTTGTTAGCCATTCATAAGTTGATGAACAGTTGGGTTTTTTCCACCTTTTGGCTGTTAATAATAATGCTGCTGTGAACATTTGTGTATACGTTTTTGTTTGGGTATATGTTTTCATTTATCTTGCATATACACCCAGGAGTGGAATTGCTGGGTTATGGTAATTCTGTGTTTAGTTTTCTGAGGAGCTGCCATACTGTTCTCTACTGTGGCTGCCCATTCTACATTCCCCAACAGGAATGTATGAAAGTTCCAATATCTTTACATTCTTTACAACACTTGCTATTTTACTTTTATTTTTGATTTGAGCCATCCTAATGAGTATAAAGTGGTATCTCATTGTAGTTTTGATTTGCATTTCCCTAATGACTGACGATGTTGAGCTCCTTTCATATGCTTATTGGTGTAGCCTCTTTTTATTATTTTTTCATTAAACATTTTTGTTTGATGAGTCTCTATTGTATGGATAGTTCTATGATATGGGCCCTACCCTGAGGTTACTCATACACCAGTGGATAAGATCTTTAAGCTGATAATTGCAAATAGTAAGATAATAGACTACAAAGAAGGTATGTAGGATGTGTAGATGTGTAATGGCACCTTTGAGAGCAGGGGAGAAGATGAGTGGAAGCTAAACAGAGTTTGTCAAGCACACAAGAAAGAAGGGCATTCTAATTAGATGGAAGAGCCTAGAGCCTTGAGTATAGCTGGTAGGGCGATGAGGCCTCCTGTCATCAGATGGGGAGTGTCACCCATCTTAGGCAGCTAGGCAGGTCTCTACCTCCAGAAGCAAGCCTGCCCCAAGCACTAAGCCAGCAGAAGCCAGCAGGCAATCCTTGCTGAGCTCTGTCATCCACTGCGTCTTTGTGTCTTTATCTCTTTGTTGGGACTCTGTTGTTTTCAAGGAACATTTACTGAGCTGATTTGATCCGACTTGAGGTAGATATTGTATCTCCATTTCTACAGAGAAAAATTATGCTCAATGAGGTAGCCGCTTCCTGACATCTCACACCTACAAAGCGACAGAACTGGACTTGGAATCCAGGTTGTCTGATGCCTAGTTTATTCCCCATCGGCACACTGAGCCTCAGCTCTTCTTAACTTGGCATTCAAGGCCACTTATTTTCTAGTTCCCACCACCTTTTCTTCCCTTCTCACCTCTCCCTCCTGCCTGTAACTGAACCATCTCGATCTAACCATTTCGATCTAAATATTTCCCCAGCCTTCCCCATTTGGCTTCTATTCTTTACCCCTCTTGTGTAGTCCAGATTCTTACCATCCTTTAAATGGCTATCCTTTTATGCGCACCAACTGTTGAAGTGCCATTCACTCTACTCAAGTTTTTAACACACCGAATTGGTAATCTTCACAATGTTCTGCAATGTGAGTAGGAATTATTTACTTCAATTCATAGATGAGGAAATAGCCTCAGAGAAGTAAATTAACTTACTCCTAACTTACCTAGCAAGTAAGGAGTCCAGCTCAAATGCCACCTCCTTTCAAAAGCCTTCCAGGGTTACACTGACCGAAGTGATTTCCCTTGCTCCCGGAATCCTTTAGCAGTTGCTTCTCCCTTATTCAAATTCAGCTTTTGAGATCTTGAGTTATCTTTTCTTGTGTTTTTATCTTATATCCTCAGCTGGATGTTTGTTCATCTGTGTCCCTAGGACCTAGTTTAGATCCTACAGAGTAAATTCTCAGTAAAGGTTAAGTCGAGGCATAGAAAGCAAAGCTCTGGATCTGGAGTGGTCCAAGTTCTCCCCCATTCATGTTATGACACTAACTTCTGTGACCTTGCACAACAGTGAGCTCTCCAGGATAGGGACCCTGTTCATCCTGCCCCTCCTTTATTCCTGGGCCTGAGAGTTGCATGCATGGATGCACAGACTTCACCATTTAGAACTTTATTTTTCTCATCTGCATTTTGAAAAATAGAATTGGATGATCTGAGGATCATTCTCCATCCAGATGTTAACGTGGTTTTGTGAGTCCGAATGATTGCTTTTCTCCACACCAACATGATCCTGAGCTAGAGTTTCAGCCCAGGAAGGCATAACATAGCTTGTCATTTCTAGTTTGGTGGCTCTGCATGTCAAACTTTGTCCTGAACTTGTCAAATTGAAGACTAGCCCAGGAGCTTTGCCCCAACACATTCAGAAATCCTAATACCACCCTCATCCTCTTTCTCTCTCTTTCTCTCTTTTTGTCTGTTTTTTTCCACACACACACATACACAGACACACAAACATACACACATACACAAACACCATGGTAAGATAATTTCATCTGAAGTACTTTCTTTAGGTTTTACATTTTAGCATCCCTTTAACTTATAAGTCAGCAGTGATTTGTAGGAGGGAAACTGTTGCTCTTTTAGAAAACCCCGCGTCCCTATTGTTGTTCATAACCCATTGGATGCATTTTATAGGCACAAAGAGTGCAAGAACGAGCCATTGTTGTGAAAATAGAAACCCAAGGGTTGCTCCTCTGCTCAGTGGGAAAGGCCATTTTTATCCGTAGGGGGTTGTTAACAAAGACCACCTCCTTTTTTTCTGAGCAGTTCATTAATCATCCTTACCCTACTTAAATCATTTCTTCATTTTTTTAAATTAAATCTCTATTCACTTTATGCTTAAGAGAAGAAAATGATTCAGAACATATTGACAATACCAATTATATTGTGCCATCCATCGAATGGCCAGTGTGTAGCAGGCATTGTCCAGTGAGTTGCGTGAATTATTGCTCTCATCCTCACAACCTCCATTATGTCCAGAGAGATTAAGGCCCTTACATACCTGTCCTCTTCCTGCCATAGAAAAGCTGAGGTTCACACTTAAGTCTCTGATATTGGACTCCCACCTCTGACCAGCTGGGCCTTCATCACGAAGACTGTTTGGGAAGATTCAGCATTTGAGTACATTCTGGAATAGTTATGTGCTTATAAGCTGCCTTCTCAGCTTTACTAACAAGTTGTGAGGAGAGAAGCCTGGCCTGGGAACAGTGTAAGAGCATGTTTAACACATGCAAATACATGCATACGTATACACACACACACACACACACACACACACACACACACACACACCCCTTCAAGACTGGATTTAACTAACTACCTGGCCATATGCTACATCCAACATTGGGCAACATGCTACAAAACACATTTGGGATATAGCAATGGGAACCTTTGAGGACTATGAAAAACAGCAATCTCTAAAGTGTCAATTTAAGCTTTGAACACAAAGTATTTTACCACAAGGGTACAGTTCCAGAAAAGACTGAGATTTTTACCTCTGGAGCCCTCTTGTTTGAACTTTTATTTTTGGACATATCCAGTGAGAGACAAATCTGGAAAGTCCAGTTTGAAATCTGTGCAGTAAAAAAAAAAACAGATTATCTGAAGTTGAGCTTAAAGAATGAGAAAATGAGTAGAAATAATATCCTTTTGTATTTGTGTAGCACTGTACGTTCAGTATGTGTTGTCAGCACATGTAAGCAGTGGACGCGAGGTGCCAGAGGCCTCTTTCCCACTCCTGGCTGTTCCTCAGCTCATGCCGTTGGCAAGCCTCTTCCATCCTCTGGGTTTGAATTTCCTCATGTAACATGAGAGAGTTGGACCACTTGTTCAGTGAGGTCCCTCAGACTCAGGCATGCTGAGATTTGATACCAGTAAAAAGGGGATAAATGTTATTCTTCCCCCGTCTGCTTTACCTTAGCCTGCCTTACCTTAGCCTGCCTTGTGTAGGGTTGTGGAGATACCCCTGCCCTTCCTTACATCCCTATCAGCTATAATCTCTCTCATGTCTATTGGTACTTGAGCTGACAGAAACCCACCAAGTTCTCCTGGGAAGACACTTGGCTTAGAAAGATCACAGTTGAGTTGAGGGATTCATGGGCCATTTTAGTTTAGATCAGATAGCAATCTAAGGGCTGTTCCAATTCAAGATTCTAGAATTCCATAAAAGGCCACCCATTAGGGTACACTTAGAGAAACCCCTAAGCAAATTCACTGGCTGCTATTTCAACACTTTGTATGACAGTGCTTTTCGCAAGCACCTTTGTTCCTAGAGTTTGATCTGCACTGCTATTAGGATGCCTGCATGCAAGAGGGAACCGGCCTTGAGTTTGTTTGTTTGTTTTTCGTTTTTAACTGGTCTGGCCTCAATTATTTTCTAGCATTTGAGGTTTTGGGCATTCTAAACTCATAATGACTCATTTTAACTCATGATGAACCTTGTTCTCTTGATATGCATTTTAGAAGACAAATCTGACCTTGAAAACAGTGTGATGCAGAAGAAAATAAAAATCCCCAAGCTTTCTCTTAATCATGTAGAAGAAGATGGAGAGGTTAAAGATTATGGGGAAGAAGATTTACAGCTTAGACACATCAAGGTAACAAAATCTTTTCTTTCTTTGGAAGTATGCGGGAGCATTTTCAGATACCTCATAGATAAAGAATTTCAGTCTGGCTTCCTCTCCCCATGTAAATGTCCCCTGGTATCAGAGGCCATGATTTTTTTCAGGGTAGGGAAAGCATGGGACAACTAGTGTGTATTTGCCTTGCTGGCCAACTTTCCAGAGAGCCCTGATTCATGCTGTGCCACCAAGCACGGTCCTGTTTGCATAGTCTGTGCAGTGTCATCGCTGTTGGAGGTTTGGAACGGTGTGTTTCTCCTTAGCCCACAGCTCTGGAGAGGCCACTGCTGAGCTCCAACAACGTTAAGCAGCTGTTCTTGGGGAGAAGTTTAGGGCCAGTCACTGTCAGATTGCCCCAAATTGCTAAGGCTGGACTCATTGGGAAGTGCACGAGGTTCACAAAAGGGATCTGTGAGACCTTGGGTTAGATGAAAACGTTTGCATGAGGTTGCATTTTCTTGCTGTGTGCCCCAGTTGGTCTCCAGCCTTTACTTTGGAAACTGCTGAAAATCTTGTTCGGCAAGCTAGCTGTTTTCTTCTGTGCAGTAGATACCTGAGAGGAAGGGAGAAGGAAGATAAGGAAATGGGATGTCTTCTGCATTGCCCATGGTCTGATTTTGGACACAAGGTTGAGGGTGTTCCCAGGGAATGTAGCTGAGTTCAGTTCATGGCATTCACTGTACTCCTGCTATGGGCCTGACCCTGTGCTGGTACCTGGAGCCATTAGCCAGACATGGTCCCTGCCTCCAGGGGTCTCACATTATTGTGACGCAGACATATTGTAACGATCACTTTAGATAAATGATAAATTCATCTACACTGGTAGCACCTTATCCCAGCAGATAAAACGACTTAAGATTTTGTCATGTAACACAATATCAGAGTCATAGTTTCATTGGGCTGGGTTTGATTTGGTTTGGTTTTCCTTAAATTTCCTGAAACTTAGTGAGAAGTGCCTGTCCTCAGTCGTCTGCACTTCCTACAAGTGCCCGAGTCAGGAGAGCTCCTAACCCTACTACCCTGAGTGAAAGAATTCATTTGATCCTGTAACTCTCACTGCCCCTCAGTAGAAGCTGTAGCTACCTGAGCTAGAATTTCCTCTGGCAGTAGAACCCCAAGCCCTGGGGGAGTCCTGGATAATTCTTTTGTAAATTAACTTTCTTCTCTCTATCCACTGTCTTGCTGAGGGAGAGGCTGGCAGACGTGGGGGGAAGGAGCCTTGTACTGGAAGTTAGATTCCAAATTCTGGTTTTGGCTCTGTTTGTATCTCACTATGTGACCCTAAGTGTAGTCCTTCCCCTCTCTGACCCTCAGTTTTCTCACCTGGAACATGAGGAAGTGAAACTGAAAGTACCTTTCAATGCTAGAATTCTTTGAACTTTTCGGTTGAGTAAACATTTTTCAAGCCCCTACTGAGTGCCAGTTCTGAGTGAGTAGGCAAAGGAGGAACAGAGAAAATATGACATGTTTTCTTCCCTAGATTAGAGTAGACTAGAGTTTTTAACATCCTTTCCATCTAAAGCATTCTTGATGAAAAGTTTACATGGTGAATTGCCTTTAGGGGAGGAATTTTTTGTTTTTGTTGTTGAAGAAATTTGTGACTCCTCTGGGATCAGTTGGCCTGGCCTGATTTCTCCCTGATTCTCCACAAATACATATTGAACACCCCCATACGCAAGCCACTGCCTAGGCATTGTGGGTGGGCTGGGGCCTGGGGAATTGGGAAGGGTGGTCATGATATATGCATCCAGGAGGCAGAGTGGTGAAAGGAAAAAGTGCAGGCCTGGGAAATCAGTATCCTGGTTATGACTTTGGGCAAGCCTCTTCCCCACTCAGAACCCCATTTATAAAATTTATAAAATGTTTCCCCATTTATAAAATGAAAGGCTTTGACTAAGTGTGTGCACAGGTTTCTCCAAGCACTGATGTTCTGTGATTCTGTGATTTTAGGATTGTCTGGGGAAATATTGAGCTGCAGTCCAAGAAAGTCCCAGCTGCCCTTGCCTGAACTGATTCTCGTTGTCCTACACAGAGACCTGAGGGGCGGAAGCCGAGCGAAGTGGCGCACAAGAGCATCGAGGCCGTGGTGGCTCGGCTAGAGAAGCAGAACGGCCTGAGCCTGGGCCATAGCACGTGTCCGGAAGAGGTCTTCGTGGAGGCCTCGCCAGGCACAGAGGACATGGACAGTCTAGAAGATGCTGTGGTGCCCCGGGCTCTGTATGAGGAGCTGCTGCGCAATTACCAGCAGCAGCAGGAAGAGATGCGCCACCTCCAGCAGGAGCTGGAGCGGACTCGCAGGCAGCTGGTACAACAGGCCAAGAAGCTCAAGGAGTACGGGGCACTTGTGTCTGAAATGAAGGAGCTCCGTGACCTCAACCGGAGGCTCCAGGACGTGCTGCTCCTGCGGCTTGGCAGCGGTGAGTGCCCCAGCAGGCCACCTACCACTCCACATGGGTGGTATGCTTCATCCAGATCCTCTTCTGGGAGGGGAAAGGGGAGAGGGAGACCAAGTGCCCTGGAGGCTAGGGAAGGACAGCCACTTGGCTTATCAGTTGTCTCAAGGAAGAGTCACTCCCACTCATAGTGAATCTGATAGGAGCTTATGTATACAGCAGCCTCAGCTATGGGAACATTGGCGAACATGGGTCAGAGAATAAGAGCTGACAAAATATTTGTCACTGCTCACTCATTTATGCATTCATTCAGCAAGAGGCAGTAACAGGGATTGTAGGGAACCTCTCCAAGGAAATTTCAGGATAATAAAAAGAAGCAGACATGATCCTAACAACATGTATTAGTTTAAGTCAGAAAGTGATAAATGCCAAAGGAGAATGCTGACAAAATGATATGAGAGTTCAGGGCTTGGAGTGGTTATTCGTAACTGAGGGCATGGAGAGACTTCAGTAAGGAACTGAGGTTTGAAGGGTGGGCAGTGTTTCAAGGCACAAGAGGAGGCTGAGCAGCACTCGTGAGCATGGGAAAATACCTGGAGCACACTAAGAGGAATAATGCAAACGTGCTTTGAGGACAGAAGATGGAAGGACTTGAAAACGACCAGCCTGGGATGTCTGAACTTGTTTTGGTAGGAATGGAAAGCATTAGAAAGCTTTGAGCAGGGAGGCACATGACCTTAGGAAGATGAATATAAAGACGTATAAAACTCCTTTGGTTTGCTCACAGAACTTTAAATAGGTTCTTATATTGCACTCTATTTTAACTAATCAGGTTTTCCAATCTAAAGTGGTTTAGAAGCAGGGATCAAGAAATCTGAGAGGCAGCAGCCTTCACTGCCAGAAGAAATGACTGCCTACCAGAGAGAGAAAGACAGAAAAATGCTTTCAGAACATAAGAATCCAGAACTGTAAAAGATAGAGCCCAGTCAGTATTGAGGAAATCAGTATAACACAAGTTCATTGCCTCCATAGCCCCTGAAGACAGTAATTGATAAACTCTGAGTCAGTGTGCTTTGCTTGAAGAAGGTGGTAATCTAGTCTAGGAATATCCTCAAAGTTTAAATAAAATATGGTTTTGCCCTTATGAAGGTTTTCATTATCTAGATAATATATTTAGATATGAAGCTTCATTCTTCTTTGATTTATTCTTACCCTAATTTACTTATATTTGTAGGTGTCCTTTGCTTCTTAAAGTATGTCCCCAAGGTAGTGGCTCAGTAGATCTTTGGATGGTCCAAGGAGTCAGTAGAGAGGCCTTTTCATGCCCTTGTCATAGAAAAGGAAACTACATTGGGACTTCCCCAGAGTCACGTAGGGAGGCAGAGGTAGAGTTCTGTCTCAACTCTAGTCACTCAGTTCATAGGCTGGAGTTTGTCCACTCCCAAACTCTACCATTGCTTTGACAAGTCAGTGTCCCAAATCATAGTCTACAGAGGTTCACAGGGACACGAAAAGTCGCATATGGTTTGCAGCTTCAAAAGTTAGTAAAGTTCTTTATTAAAATAAAATCTCAAAGAGAAATCATAAATGTAAAAATTTGTAAAAGCTATATTGTTCTTGTAGCGGTGATGGGGGATGGGGATAACTGAAATTTTCGGAGAGGAAAAAATGTTTCCCAATCTTAAAGTGAATAATTTGTATTTTCAGTGTGCTTTGTATGCTATGCCTTTTATAAACTTCTTGGGGGCTTGTGGGGAAGTACACCAAAAACAGAAATTCTTCGTACTTAATTCAACTCCCAGGGAAACTACCTGTTTTTCATGATTATGAACTGAGTTTAAACTCCAGAAACCACTCCTAAGCCTCTGGGGTGGTAAGATACCCTGCATTTTACATCATTCTATGCCTCTTTTAGTCCTAAAACATGTAGAAAAACTTGACCTGAAGCATAGTTTCAGTGTCTTGATCTTTCTAGGCTCTCCCATCCCACAGGCCTTGAAGGCCATTGCACAGACCACTGGGTAGCTCTTCCCTGATCTGAGTCACCATCATCATTACAATGGGTTGGACTCAACATAAATCAGCTGGAGCCCCAAGTATGCATAGGGCACCCACCCTATCCTCTCAGGACTGCAGGCATCCTGGAAAATCACACCCACTGTCCCTCATCTGTGAAAGCTTAAAAGTCTATTGATTAACACATGTTAATAGGAGAATGGTAATGTGCCAAGTTCCAAGACAAATCCACAAGAATAAAATAAAAGGGTCCCTACCCTTAAGAGGAGGTTGTATGTTTTCATGGCCTGGATTCAAATCCCAACTTCCCTACTTCCCAACTCTGTGGCTTTGGGAAGCTCATGTCCTTCCTTCCATTCTTCCTTCCTTTCCTGTGACCGTATTTTCTTCCATGAATACTTGCTGGTCTCCTGCTACATGCCAGGGATCTTGCCTAGTGTAAGAATTCAGTATATTTGCAATACAGACCTTGCCCTCTGCCCTTGAGGAGTTTAAAGTTTGATGAGGGAAACAGATCCTGAAACAATCAGTGACAGCACAGTACATAAATGCCATCATAGGGACAAAACCATAGAGGACTGTGGGACAGCAGAGGGAACTACTCACCAGATTTTGAGGGGTCAGAGAGGGAAGGCTTCCTGAAAGAAACACGTTTTAGGCTGGAGCCGGAAGGATAAATTTTTGTTACCAAAACAGGAATCAGTAGATGGGGAGAGTGAGGAGCAATTTAGGCAAAGAGCGTGTATGTCTCTGACCCTCAGTATTCTCATCTGTAAAATGGGAATGATCATATGATCATATTACAGCCTTGTGACACACAGCATAGTGCCTGACATTCTGTTAATGCTTGATTACTGTTAGCTCCTGTTCAACATCATGTAATGGAGGAGCTAAGACAGGGTTACCTTTGGCTTTTAACTCAGGCACCCCCAGCCTGTAGTTGGCTATATGACCTTGGGCAGGTTAACTAACTTCTCTGCCTCAGTATCCTCTTACAATATTGAAGATAAGAGGGGTTATATATGTTTGTTCATTTGTTTATTCATTCAGTCAGCTAACTTTGACCAAATGCTTTCCGAGCCTAGGAACTTGGGGATATCCAAAGAAGACTAAGACATTGGGAAGCAGAAGAGGGTAGTGATGGAGGTAAACATGTTATTAAAACACAGAGTGCCAGTTCTGTGGGAGAGGTTAGCATCTGAAGGGAGAATTCTCTCGTGGAAAGTCTAGTAAGATATCCGCTTGCTGTAACAGATCGTGATCTATAAACACCACTAAGAAGGCAGAGAACAACCAGAAAGCAAATGAGAGACCCTTGTTTGACTCATGGCTTCACTTGCCCTCTGATAAACACGTCCTGGCTTAGGGTTGATGTAGGGCTCAGGCTTTGCCATTCTCTGCCCCCTGGGCCTCATTTGAGTGTTGCTCCTGGAGGCATATCCTTGAGTATTTTTATTTGTCCACCTCAGCTAGGGGCCTAGCTCAAGGGCCTTTGTCTGGCTTGGGTGCTGGATCATTCACACCATAACAGGCAAATTCAGAGATGAGGGAGGCCAACAGGTCAGGAGGTGCTCAGTTTTCAAAAGAAATCTACCTGCCTGGAAGAATCATTATTTACTCACCCACATAGTGGCGTCCTACGAGTGGTAGATGGTAGTGGAGAGCAGCCGCCTGGTCTTTTCAGACTGATGGGGACTCAGAGTGGGAGGCGGGTCTGTTAGCAGCCAGGAGTTATAATGGCACACCTTGGGGAGGTTGGGGTCAGAAAGGTGGAGCCACACCCAAGGGTGGGGGATAGCAGCAAGAGAGTATGTTTCAGAGGCTTCACTGAATCGTACACGTCTTCATTTGTACATTTATTCATTCTTTCATTCATTCCACACACAAGAAAAGATGGGTTTAATCGGAAGTATTCCAACATGGAGTCACGGAGTTGTGAAAGAACTTAGGCTATAGACTGTCACCCTCATTTTGCTGATGAGGAAACAAGCCCAAAAAGTGTCACTGGCTTATTCCTGAGGGTCTCCTGACCCTGTCCTGTGTGCCTCTCTCTGGCCCCTCACCTGTATGACCTTCTTTAGCTCTTAGACTTCAATTTTCCCAACATGGGGGTGTCCCCTCCATCCCTGTTACTCCCCACAAAGGACATCATCTCTCTCTGTAAAACAGAACTTTCCTTGTCTGTGATCTTAGCATGGTAAACAACCCCACTGTCCTCCACTGTCAAAATTAAATAAGGAAGCATATGTAATAACTTTAGCCCTGTGACCCCTATATTGTAAGTGTTCAATAAATGCCAGTCCCCTTTTCCTTTTTCTCCCTTTCCTGCCCATCTTCCCCCAAATAAGGAAATGCCGAGGATGCAAAAAGCGTGGTGATATTCCAAGGTACAGATGTTTTTCTGTGTATATTCATTTATTCATTACTTTATTCATTGAACAGTTATCAAGGGTATCCTTTGTTCTAGGACTGGGTTAGGTGCTGGGAATAACGTAATGAACAAGACAGAGTGCCTTTTTGAAAAACAATACACAAGTAGATTAGAATGGTGTGTTTAAACGGGGCATTGGCAGCCACAGAGAATTTTAGGGGATGAAGGGAAGCAGAACAATAGAGACCCAGCTGGGGGAGGGTAAGCCCCCATGTGTGAGAATGGAGTAAATTCTAGGGTCTCTCTTGGTTTCTCCTCAGCTAGATTCCCTGTTCTTAGAAGGCAAAGTCCAAGGCTACGGTGTCCTCCCCAGTTTGTTACACTGTAAGTACCACTTAGATAGTATAATTCATTGTGGTGTGACTCGGGTAACGTTAGTTCAAATAAGACTCTCAAGGGCTCTGTGAGGAATCCAAAGAGGAGCAGATGTAATCCTTGCCTTCAGGATGCACACAAGTCTCACAGGGAATACGAACATGTACACAGCATGACACCAGGCAAATAAAATCAGTGTTGTAATTGCAGGAGGGAGGCAGATGATGATATTAGATTTCGTGTGTGCTGTCTCAGGGAATAT